AAATCAGTGGTTAAGTTGTATTTACAACACTGTTCCAGAACAAGAGCGCCCTCTGGCCTTTGGATGGAGATTTACTGCTGATCACAGAACCGTGCTTCACTGAAAGATACGCATGACAATCGCAGCTTCTGTCGAATCGCGATCTCGATTCCATTTCGATTTATCGTGCAGCCCTACTTCGCGCTGTGGATCGCCAGATCAGCTTTCACCATGGACGAAGCGAGTCCAGCCCGGGGTCGTCATATGTGGTTGCCGCAAGCCCGGGCAGTTCCGACTTTGCAAGGACAGTCTGGCGCTTCTGACTCACAGCCTGTAAGTACATTTTTTATATTTAAAGAATTTGCCACTGATGATTCAAACGCGAGTTTTAAGCAGTGTAGAGTAGTGCTTGTTGTTTGTCGTTTCTCTGATCACAAATGCAGACATGGTTTTATGTTTACGCGGCGTGATACGCAACGCAACGCATAAAAATGCAGCGTACATAGAGGAGCAACAATAATGTACAGTATGTGGAAAATAATGTGTTTTTTTAACCTTAAACCGCATAAACACATTGCATTACACCAAATACACAACATAATGTTCTTTTTAGCAACGTCATATGACCCCTTTAAAATTTAATGACCAGAATAATGTAATATTTTCAATAATAATAATAATATCTTTATTTGGGAGTTTTTCCTCAGCAGATTTCCATAATAATGCAATAATGCAAATAATTCAATTAATTAATCAGTATTTTATGTAATTAATCAATTTAAATTACGAATTAATTAAAAGTGCTAATATAAGTGTATACACAATACTAAATATACTATATTTACTGTATAATAGTTTATATAATATTTCATAATTATATATTAATTATAGCTATTGTTTTATAATATATACATTATATAATTATAATATATACATTACGTATATTTCAGAAATATATAAATGTATTAATATTTCTCCTCATTATTTAACATTAGAGATGAGTGGACAGTGTTACTTGCCAAGCAATTGTTTTAAAGTTAGACTATTGGAAAGAATATAACCTCCAAAATAAGAGTTTATTTTTATTACACATTAACTATTTTGTCTGGAATTGTTAATCTTAATTACAATAAATATCTTTATAGGGCGTTTTCTCAAAATATTTTTTTTCTCATGCACTGAGCCAGAAATCTCTACTTACATAAACAAAACTTTACAGTTTTATTCCTACCTATATTCTGAAGTTTCTTACAGAGGGGTTTGCTCATATATCAGTCAACTGATTTATGTAACATTTCATTCCTTAAAAGGTGAAAAAAAATTTTCTGGCTGTTGACAGAATTTTCTGATTTATGGAATGATAAAAATAGAGATATCCAAAATCCCCTCTGTAAAAACATTTAACTCTAATATGCCAACAAAATGAAACAAGAATTTTGAACCTGGGTTTATCCAATGTATGAAATGTATGAAATTTAGTGTATATTTAAATTGAATGCATAATTTGCAGATTGAAACACAACAATTCAGTAAATGGTGAAATTTTTTTTTCTGGCTGTTGACAGAATTTTCTGATTTATGGAATGATAAAAATAGAGATATCCAAAATCCCCTCTGTAAAAACATTTAACTCTAATATGCCAACAAAATGAAACAAGAATTTTGAACCTGGGTTTATCCAATGTATGAAATGTATGAAATTTAGTGTATATTTAAAATGAATGCATAATTTGCATATTGAAACACAACAATTCAGTAAAATAAAAAAAAATAAAAAATGTCTTGTGATAAATCAATTGGGGAAGTACCTAGTTGGTATCAGTTACAATTTTTTTGACATATTCACCAGGTAAAAACAACAACCTATTTTTACATTTGATTCCCAATTTACCTGTTTGTTGATGTTACCCGAGCAAAATAAGCAGAGATTATTATTTCCAAAATAAACATACAGCATAAACACAGGAGGAAATGTGTGAGTCAACCAGCGACTTCGCGGGTTTATCCTGTGAATTATGTGCTCTTAGCTTTTGATTTGTGGCTATAATCCTCAGATTTAAGTTTTTAATGCAGTCTTGTTGATTTGTATCCTGTGATCTGTTCACATGCTAACACTGCAGCTATGACAACAAGAGACAAACATGAACGTGACAACAGGTTTACAGACCATTACAATAACCAAACACAAAGCTCGTATATCATATTACATTATAATATCGTCTTGGTTTCCTCCAAACAGCCGATAAAAAAGAGAGGCGAGAAAGCGGCTATTAACTGGTTAGCGCGGCTAGCGTTAGCAGCTCGTGTTTGGGCTTAGAAGGCGGTTTATTTTTCCACATGGCAAAAAAATTAAATAGAAACACCCTTTTCTTTTTTTAAACATCACATACCTTTAAATGAGAACGGCCGGAGAGGTGCTGGAAGGGTGGGTAGAGGGTTTGTGTCGCGATAAAACGAACCCGTTATCCATCATCGCTTCTGCTGATGCTGCAGTTAGGCAACACGGCCTGAAGGGCGGTGTGTTGATCTAACGTTACATCTATTGTTCCTCACAGAATTAGCCATGGAAATATAAAATATCAAAACTGCAAATGGTATGTTGGCATAACTATTAAGAAGGTTATTCTTGCTATGCATTAGGCTACCTTTGGAAAAAATAATATGCATGTGTTGTAATTTAAATAGGTATTAACGTTACTATTGCAAAATATGCTCAAGCTGTGGCATTTAGATTTGATTATTTGCACAATGGAAAGAATATTAACTATTTAATTATCAATTTAATTAAACATTTAAATAAAAAAACGAAAAAACACTTTTAATATGTCTTGATCATTTTAGAACTTGCAGCAAAAATAACATTTAAATCAAGGCAGTGAAATTAATTAAATTAACCCCATTCTCACATAAATGTAAAGATTATGATAAAAGAAAAGTAACTAATATGATTTCCAACTTTTTTCTATTGGTTATTTATCTAGTAGGCTATAATTAGACATGGGTAAAGGATAATATAAACCAAATCAAATCAGACACTGGATTTCTCAAAGCAACTAACATTTATTTATTTGTTTGTTTGGCAAAATTAAATGAATCACTAGGAGGTCACACTCCAGCAACAGTTTATATCTACACATCTGCTAGTATAGGAAAAGTAGAAGATTTGAAAAATGTACAATGTTTAGGGCAAAGAAGAAAGCATTTGAAAATACTTATGTCAAAGAAACAATTTAGAAGCATATGGAAAAGTGAGCTAAAATTAATTAATTTAATAATTAACTATTGGCAAGTCTGACACACATCCCTGCATGAGACCAATAGCAAAAGACACATCAAGCGATCAAGAGGAATGTTCCTGCTGCTCAGACGTATCTCTGTATTCCTTTAAACAGTGCTTGGACAACACACTGTGCTCTGTGTTATTTCCACAGCAGGTCCTCCATTAAATTCAACAGCATTCACTCTGGCCTTCCTTTCTCATTTTCTCCACATTTTAATTTTATTCTGTCAGATTTGGTTCCCTCTCTGTGTCTCTCTTCTTTTGCAACCCCCCACCATTATGCTCCAGAGGAAAACAGGAAGAGAATTACCTTGAGCTGTGATAACAGGTTTTTCTGAACACATTATGCGAGTAATTTCCTTTGAATTTCTCCAGACATTGGTTTTTCAGCTGTGCTGCTTAACTGCCCTCATAATACAGCCCACTGAAAATAAACACATCAGTCTAAAACCTCTGCTCTCTTTTCAGTGTCACAGACTGACACAAATCACTGTTTGCCATAGCTGTAACGAGAACTGTTCCATCCCAGAGTGGGCTTTTATTTCTTAGAGAAAAGTTGATGGCAAAACTCTGAACTGTGTGAGATGAGTTTGTCATTAAAAGAAAAACAGACACAAAAGTTCAAAGCTGGCAATAGTTGATAGTATGTATGTGTGAGTATTATAAATTAGCAGGAAATGGTTTTCATCAGTGATCAAGTACAAATGACATTATTCTATACAAAATAAGATTATTATTATTATTATTATGCTTGTGTACAATTATGTACAGATTGTATTATACCATAAAATAACAACAACAACAAAACTAATAATTCCTATTATTCTCTATAGAATAATATTAATACTAATAATATAAATGTACTATTATGCTTGTGTACAAGTATACAGATTGTTTTATATTATAAAATAATAATATAAATAATATAAATGATTATGCTTGTGTACAAGTAGATTGTATGTTTAGGATAATAATAATAAACAAATAAATAATAATAATTATTATTAAAGTAACATTGGTAATTATTCTATTGTATTCTATTCTATTTCATCTATATAGCACACCTGTACATACATTTTTTGTCTATTTTTGTTTATTTATATATATATACATATGCATATTTTATTCACATATCTTTATTTTTTATTATCTGTGTGTTGTTGATGTCTCTGTGTACCGGAAGCTTCTGTCACCAAAATAAATTCCTTGTATGTGCAAAAATACTTGGCAATAAAGCTCTTTCTGATTCTGATTCTCAAATATTACAATTGTATTTTTTTAGTACTGTAATATTTTATATGTGCTACTATGTTCCAACCAGTTCCACTGAGGCTAAGAATCAGTTAAAAACCAAACCAGCCCTCTGGGACCCCTCAATGGACAAGTTTTGCAACTACAGTTTTCAAGAAAAATGTTTTTGACAAATGTTTTTTCATGAACTTTTATATTTGAAATGACTTCATAACTATCAAATACATTAAAAAATAAAAATAAAATAAAACCAAACCTCACGGAGAGTGAAAATGTTACATGTACAATGACTTAAGATAAAGGACACCGCTCTTGAATAGTTGAATAGACTTGAATAGAAAAAATACATTTAATATCTTTGATATTGACACAATTCCAAATAAATAAACAAATTGTCAATTTAAGTCCTATTTAAAATCCAAAGATGAACAACAACACGCAAGACCAAAGCTAAAATACATGACACACACAGTGTGTCTATGACTCTGTGTTACAGAGGAGGAGGAGGAGGAGGAGGTCTGGGTACACTGTGACACTGGTACCTGTGGAGAATATCAAGATTACCCCTTGTGCTGTGCTGAAAATCCCAGTCAAAAATGTCCAACCATTTAAAAATTGCTTGTAAATTATGTAAAAAACTGTAAATTATGCTATATTATCACCAAACCTTGGATTCAATCGTTTTGTGTTTCTTTTTGGAACTGCCTGGTCATAGGCCTCATTGATTGGAGCTTATGCATCTCAGTTTTTGAGTGAAAAAGCATTATTTTTGGATAATTTTGACAATATTCACTTAAAATATGAGGTGCATAAGCTCAGATCAATGAGGCCTAGGACCAATCAGTTCCAAAATGATTTAATTTTGATTTAATATTAATTTAATATTAATTAGCATTTTCAGGAAAAGAAAATCCTTTCCAGGTCAAATGACAAAAAACACAACATGAGGGTTAATACACCCTCTTACGCTTCAACATCACATTAAGATCTATACTGTATGTGAATATATGTGTGTGTGTGTGTGTGTGTACAAACCTGGTCTGAGGATCAGTGTTAGGGAAAGTGGAGAGAACTCTATATCCGGTCTGCTGCAGCGCTGTCATGTAGTGGCTGGAAGATCCTCTTATCTGCCTGAAGTTGATGTAACTCTGAACTCCACGCAAGAGAGAGACAACAGTCTTCTGCTTCTTATCTAAAAACACACATGAAAATTGTACATGATGTGCATTTATGTTTAATATACACATTTGGTGTGTGTCTGTACTGTATGTATACGTACATCTGCTGGTATCATGTGTGTCTTCTTGCTGATCAGGTAAGAGAGTGTGTATGCCTGTACCTCTTAAAGGAGCTGGTCGGGCCACCAATGGTACCAAACCGGGTAAAGTCATTTCACCACCTGAACTAGAACCCTACACACATGCACAAGGTAATTGTCTCTGCAATATAATTTTATCTGATCTGTTCATTCGATCTGGATAGTTAGCATGAGCTACCTGTGCTTCATTATTTAAAAGCTCTGCTCTAGTTCTTTCTTCCAGGGTGACTGTCATGCCATCCAGAACCTGCAGTGTAGACAAATGCAGTACCACTGCTGGCCTGTGCAGAGATCGCCGTGCCACCTGCAACACACACGCTTGGTATGTCGTAGTGCAGAATATGTCTAATTAAAAGGATATTCAGTCAGTTAAAGAGGACAGAACATACTGTATTTATTCAGAACCAGAGAAGCCATGATGTGTTATACTGTGTGTGTGTGTGTGTGTAAGGATTTGTCTGTAATCATGGTTAGTTTGCAGTTCAGCCAAGAGTTCAGTTTGAAATCTCTTCATCTTGTGTGTGTGTGTGTGTGTGTGTGTGTGTGTGTGTGTGAGACTCACTGGGTTGCCCATTACAGACAGTTCTATGAGAGAAGGAAGCACCTCCAATTTCTCCAACTCTAAAATGTCCTGTAACATAAACAAAAGACACATTAGGCCATAAATACACTTTGATATACATATAACGCATCTAGACACTTACAAAAAAGAAACACATTGACTATTATATGCTTTTATATATATAATTTTTATATACACAAAAGTTTGGGTAGTAGGATTTTTTGTATTGTTTTTGAAGTAAGTATCTTGCGCTCACTAAGGCTGCATTTATTAGATCTAAAATACAGTAAAAACATTAATATTCTGAAATATTATAACAATTTAATTGTTCACTATTTTAATACATTTTAAAATGTAATTTATTCTTGTGATGACAAAGCTGAATTTTTAGCAGCCATTATTTCAATCTTTGGTGAAGAAACATTTCATAATATTATAAATGTTGAAAAAAGTTGTGCTACCTAATCATTTTCTGGAAACCATGATACTTTTATTTTCAGTATTGTTTGATGAAATGAATATTAAAAAGAAAGCATTTATTCGAAATAGAAATCTTTTGTAACAATATATAAATCCTGTGAATTTTAGAGAAAGTCAAATGGAATAATGCACAGTCATTATGTCACTATATTCATCATTCATATAATGATGAATGTAAACCTTTTATATTTATTAAATTTGATATATTGGTTTATTTTGAAATATGTGGACATCTTTTATTACTTTTTGCTTGATGGTTACACCACTTAGTATTTTAGTATTTTAGTAATTAGTATTTTATTTGTCATTAAATCTTTTTGTTCTTTAATGTATAAAACCAACATTAATTCAAAAATTACATTTCTAAGAATGTGGAACATGCATTTTTAAACTAGATTTTAAAAAGATTTAAATAAACAGGCATATGAGGAGGAGAATAAACAATGAAAAAAAAATAGGATTAGGAAATGCGCAGGACACAAGAAACATCAAATTAAAGGTTTTTGTTAACATGTCATGATTTCCACAGAGATAAAGGAATGAGGAGGTAAATCAAAAAAGATCAGTGAGTCTCAAGAACACACACACACACACACACACCTCTGACCTTCAATCAATGTAAATACTGCTTAATTGTCCCCTTGTGCTACAGTGCTGGTGCAGTAATGGCTGTCTGTAATTACTTTATATTCAGGGGCAGGCAAAAGGCAGAGCTCTCACAGGGCCACAACACTAATACAAACACACTAAGTGACTGAATTACTGTAATTTAGTAATTACAGTAAAACTGCAGCTACACACATACAGATGAGAATGGAGAAGTGAATAATGAAAGCAAGCCTCAAGCACTCAAACTTGCACACACACACTCATCTGGGTTTAGAGTAACATTGTTTCTAAGTTTCTTGGTAGATACTATGCTGCTAATAAAATCATGTGTAACTCTAACCTACAACACTTAAATTATATGGCAAAGTATACCTATCATAAGATTAACTATATCTGACAGACCATCCTGTCTAACTAATGAATGTGAACCAAACTGTTTGACTCATGACTCAAATACCAAATGTTAAGTTAAATTATAAATTAAACTGATAGTTTGCAGCTTTTTCCAGCATATAACAAATTATAGTCTGTTTCCCACAAGAAGCTTGGAAAAGTCACAGTTTTTTTCCTTAGTGGAGCTTTACAGTCAAGGATGAAACTTTGTGTACATGTTTACTGTGTACCTGTATTTTAGGTAGGTTGTTGTGTATTTTGTGTAGGTGTTATTGTGTACCTGTATTTTGTTCATGTCTAAGAACAGTCTCCGGAGCTCAGTGAGAGGCAGAAGGTGGTTCAGTTCACGGATGCGATTCTCTGCCAAGTGCAAATCCAGCAGAACTCTCTGTCCACAGAATGAGTTCTCACTCAAAGATTTAATTCGATTTCGATCCAGAACCAACTCACGCAGTCTCCGCAAACCATCCAGTCCATCTACCTGACTGATATCATTCCCTTACGGAAAGAGAGAAGGCGCTTAGAGAAGATCTCATTAAAGAATATACAGTATATACACCATTGTTCAAATGTTTGTGTTCAGTAAGATTTTTTTATGTTTTTGAAAGAAGTCTCTTATTTTCACCCAGGCTGCATTTATTTGATCAAAAACAGTAATATTGGGAAATATTATTACAATTTAAAATAACTTTTTTATTGTAATATATTTTAAAATGTAATTTATTCCTGTGATGCAAAGCTGATTTTTCAGCATCCATTACTCCAGTCTTCAGTGTCACAAAATCATTCAGAAATCATTCTAATATGCTGATTTGCTGCTCAAGAAACATTTTATAATATTATCAGTGTTGAAAACAGTTGTGCTGCTTGATATTTTTGTGAAAAGGGTTACAGTTTTTTCAGGATTCTTTAATGAATACAACATTCAAATGAACAGCATTTATTTGAAATATTTTCTGTATATTTCATTGAGGATATGTTTGCAGACAGTGATGAATAGCTCTACAAGAGAGGTTGTACATACCTTGTAGGAACAGTGCTCTGAGGTTAGTCAGTCGGCTGATCTGTAGATTGATCAGGTTGGATATACCATTATAACCTAAATGCAAAACCTCCAAACTGGACATCAGAGGCTCCAGATTATCAGTTGGTCCCTCCCTACAAACAAAGTGAAGGAAGGGAGGAGAAGAACATTTTGAAAGAAAGTGAGAAGAAACAAATGAGAGGCACATGTAGAGGTGTGTGTGTCATTCAGAAAAGTACAGTTTACTGCATTAATACTGTATGCGGTATAGACACTTTGTTAATAAACGTGGCAGTCACTCCCAAAACTTAGCAGCCTCTGAAGCTGTGAGTCCTTCTCTGCTTATAAACACAGTCACTGCTGTCTGGGAATCTCTTATATGTAATTGTGATGATGCTCTCTTGTGGTTGAACGAACTACAGTATATCACAATAGATTATGAGAGAGATGTTGTGTGGGTGTGTGTGTGTGTGACATAAGTGTTGTATTTACATTCTGTCATAAACATATAAATACCTTAATGTTGGGCAGGAAGATGAGACCGCTGAATGAGGTGAGGTTATTGCGTTCTAGATTAATACTGCGTAAATTACTGAACAAATCAGCAGGAGCAAGATCCACCATCCTAAGACACACAGGAAAACAGAAATCATAAAGTGTGAAGCAACATATCCAGTTCTGTTGTGTTGGTTTAATTTTGACTGTAGGATTGTAGAAAGAGTTCATGTGAACCTGACTGAGCTGGACTGCAGGTTGAGCTCTGACAGGTCTCTGTAGTTGGTATGGCCCAGCTTCTCAGCCACCATATCTGCATTGAGCCGCCCTCCAAACACGTCTTTAGCAGTTTCTGATTCACACGTTTCCTAAAGAGCACGGACACATTTGTGTGTGTGTTTTTTTTTTTTTTACCTTAAATCACCCAAATGGTTCACACAAAAATTAAAATTCCGGCAACAGTCAACCTCATGACAGTCTCCATTCCCTTTTACTTTCATTGCATAGAAAAGAGCAGCTTAGACATTCTGCAAAATGTCTTATTTTGTTTTCAACAGAAGAAAGAAAATCATATGGGTCTGAAATGACATGAGGGTCAGTAAATGATGACAGGATGTTCATGTATTTGATGAAATATTCATTTAAAGGGTGTTAAAGTATACAAACACTACCTTTAAAAGTTTGGGTTGATAAGAGTTTTTAAATGTTTTTGTCTTATGCTCATCAAGGCTGCATTTATTTAATCAAAAATACTGTATAATGATACCGTGAAATATTATTACAATTTAAAATAACGGTTTTGCATTTTAATGTATTTTAAAATGTTATTTATTTCTGTAATTGAAAAGCTGAATTTTCAGCATCCATTACTCCAGTCCTCAGTGTCACATGATCCTTCAGAAAACACTCTAATATGCTGATTTGGTGCTCAAGAAACATTTCCTATTATTATAAATTTTGAAAACAGCTGTCCTGCTTAATAGTTTTGTGGAAACCGTGATACATTTTTTTTAGGATTCATTGATGAGTAGAAAGTTTAAAAGATCAGCATTTTAAAAAAATATTTTTGTAACATAATAAATGGCTTTACTGTCACTTTTGATTAATTTAATACATCCTAGCTGAATAAATGTACTAATTTCGTTCAAAATTTGTGAATGGTAGTGTACATATGAAAACAAAAACTATACATACAGAAGCATCAGTTATATTTACCACGGCTACTCCATCCAGTGCTTTGAGTGAAGGCAGATGGAAAACCATGTAGATCCTGTAGTTCTCGAGTTTGTTTACTAGGGGATTCCCGTATAGATCCAGAATAATTAAACTAGACAGTGCCTGAGAGTAAAAGACACTTCATCACCACCACACTTTATTCAATTCAACATTCCACTACAGCACATTACATGTATTCTCATGTCCAGGTACTTTGAATGAATGCTTAAAAAATCATTATTTGCACAAAATGATATTCAGATCTATAAAATCTCCTCACCTTTAAGTGGTATATGTCTCGGGTGGTGCTGATGTCATTGTTGCCGACATACAGCTCAAATAAGGACCGTGACCTTTGAAGTCCATGAAGAGAGGAGATGATGTTGTTCTCGACAGACAGGAAGTGAAGGTTGGGTAGCTGGTCCAAAACATCCCCGTCTAAACACTGTAGGTGGTTGCTGTTAATGCTCAGACGAGTCAGACGATGCGTAGCACACAAACCTGCCACACACCAAACAAAGAGCAGCTATGAACACAGAAAAAACAGTGTGATGAACTAATGAAGGTTCTATTACACCGCTTTATCCCTGGTTTTATATTAAACTGATACAGTAAAGATACTGGAAAAAAAGAGTGAGAGAGGGAGAGACAGAGCACTACCTTCCAGTCTGGTGATACTGTTGTTATTAAGAGAAAGTTCCTCCAGTAGGGGGCAGTATTCCAGACCCTCAATTCGGGTTAATTCATTATTGTCAAATGAAGCCCAGCGTAGATTCACCAGTCGGTCAAGATTACTGAGCCAGGTCAACCGCTGGCCATCAAGATTCAGTGCGGTGATCTGACCCCGCAGGGCAAAGGACAAAATATATAGGTTAAAGATACGGCTCTACCAAGAAATTATATTATGTCATCATTAGCTATGTTTCCATCCACCTATTTTTATGCAAATTTTGGGATATATCACAAAAAAAAATGCTGGATGGAAATGCCAAGATGCACATAAAAACATATGCGCTCAATTGAGTCATATAATTTTTTTCTGATAAGAAGACATGCGAATAAACTATGATGGAAACACATTTAACAAATGAATTCCTTAATGCAAATCAAAAAAATTGCATGACTTTTCGTCTACAGATCATGTGCTTGGATAACTGAAGTAGTGCACCAATCTCATCGCATAAAATCTCAAATGTTGTTTTAATAATTTTGAAATACCTGTCATCAAAACGATTTGGTTGTGGCTCTCACAACTGTCTCACGACTGTCTCAAAACTCAGGCATCCGAATGCACGTTAATATGACAGCGTTTGTTATCATGTTTCTTGTGTTTCGTCATTTATTATGTAGGAAAAAGGAGCCACAGGCTTCCCCAGTTGCAGCAACCTTCATTTTTATTTTTGATTCTTTGCACTAGTTTCCCAGAAAGTGACCATTTTATTCTCTTGAACACATGGGATGGAAACAACGCTTTAGTCGCAAATGTTTTACATGATATTGTAATTTTGCGCACAAGTTAAATTTGCAACTTTGGATGGAAACAAAGTTACTCACCCAATGTTTATGACTTTCTTTCTTCTGCTAAACACAAAGGAAGATACATTGCAGAATGTCTAGAGTGCTCTTTAACACATAATGGAACTTAATGGGAAGTTGAGCTGTTGAGGTTCAAAAATGGTCATTAAAAAAAAACAGAATAAATGTCTCAAATCTAAAAATGTAATCAATTTTAATAAAGAGGCCTTTGATCATTCTATAATATATCTTCGTGTTTCACAGAACAAACAAAGAAATTACATAAGGGTGAGTGAATTAACCCTTTCAAATGTGTAAGAGAATGTGAGTTTATTTGTCATACTTTGGTGGTCCAGCCTAACTCAAGCTCTTGTGAGTGTTTCCATGGAGATGGGCTGATCTGTGTGAGCAGGTGAGCAGAAGAGAGCAAACTCAGACTGCGGGGACGTTCACTGTCAGTCCGAGAGTGGGTCATCAGAGATGCCTGCACACACACACACACAAGTTCCAGGTTAAATGTGGACACAAACGTTAACATTGAGTATAATGTCCAGAATATTAATACCTGGTTGATTCTAGATTGGGCAGCCACTTGAATAGCAGCACCTGCTTCCTCCTCCATCACTAAAACATCATCCAAATGAGTGAGAGTCTTCAACCGACCAAGAACCACCATACGCACACACTCGTTCTGCAACACACACAAGTGAACCGGTTGAGTTGCTTAATATTTTTGTGGAAACCATGAAACATATTTTTAAGATTTTTTTATCTTATTTGAAATAGAAATCTTTTGTAACATAATTGTCTTTACTGTCACTTTTAAACAATTTATAGCATCTTTGCTGAATATAAATTAAAACATTTATTTTTATTTTTTTTATCTCACTGACTCTGAACAGATATCAACTTGCTCAATCTTCATTTGGTCATGATGCTTTATGTTTTATACAGTCTAATATGAAGCTCAGTCATGTAAGGTGACTTGTACCCTGTGCCAAGGATTGTGCCGTGTGTCCAGTCGGAGCAGGGCTGGTGTGCGTTTACGCAAAATGTTCATGTCATCCCTGATTCGGGTCAATTGATTCCAGCGAAGATCCAGTTCTATGAGTCGACCAAGTCCACGCAGACCCTCCAGAGAGGAAATATGGTTAAAACTAACATCCAGATACTCCAGGTTTGGCTAAAGGATTAAGAGAAAAATAGAGGGACATTGAGAGACAAAGACAAAGACAGTCACAAGTCACAACTTCATATTCAATGATAGGACTTCATTTAATTTGTTATATCATCAAAAGTGCTTTTATGACAGGTGGTTAAAAATAAAGGAACTTAGTGACATCAACTAAAAATTAATTTTAGAGTGAATGAAGACCAATAATGTGCATTATATAGGGTCAGTTTTGACTTTTGACAATTTTGTCATGCTGCCTTTAAAGGTTAGTAATGATGTCATATTGAGAAGATGGAATAAGAAGGAATTATGAATGAATAGAATGATCTCATCACCATGTGTGAAATATCGTCCAAATGAGTGAACTCATTGAAGCTGAGGGTCAGATGCTTTAGAGCCGTGAGTCGAGAAATCTCAAGCAGTTTATTCAGACTGTTGCCATGTAGATTCAGCACCTGTATGACAGGAAATACGGAAACAACGCTTTAGTCGCAAATGTATAAATTTGCAACTTTGGATGGAAACAAAGTTACTCACCCAATGTTTATGACTTTCTTTCTTCTGCTAAACACAAAGGAAGATACATTGCAGAATGTCTAGAGTGCTCTTTAACACATAATGGAACTTAATGGGAAGTTGAGCTGTTGAGGTTCAAAAATGGTCATTAAAAAAAAACAGAATAAATGTCTCAAATCTAAAAATGTAATCAATTTTAATAAAGAGGCCTTTGATCATTCTATAATATATCTTCGTGTTTCACAGAACAAACAAAGAAATTACATAAGGGTGAGTGAATTAACCCTTTCAAATGTGTAAGAGAATGTGAGTTTATTTGTCATACTTTGGTGGTCCAGCCTAACTCAAGCTCTTGTGAGTGTTTCCATGGAGATGGGCTGATCTGTGTGAGCAGGTGAGCAGAAGAGAGCAAACTCAGACTGCGGGGACGTTCACTGTCAGTCCGAGAGTGGGTCATCAGAGATGCCTGCACACACACACACACAAGTTCCAGGTTAAATGTGGACACAAACGTTAACATTGAGTATAATGTCCAGAATATTAATACCTGGTTGATTCTAGATTGGGCAGCCACTTGAATAGCAGCACCTGCTTCCTCCTCCATCACTAAAACATCATCCAAATGAGTGAGAGTCTTCAACCGACCAAGAACCACCATACGCACACACTCGTTCTGCAACACACACAAGTGAACCGGTTGAGTTGCTTAATATTTTTGTGGAAACCATGAAACATATTTTTAAGATTTTTTTATCTTATTTGAAATAGAAATCTTTTGTAACATAATTGTCTTTACTGTCACTTTTAAACAATTTATAGCATCTTTGCTGAATATAAATTAAAACATTTATTTTTATTTTTTTTATCTCACTGACTCTGAACAGATATCAACTTGCTCAATCTTCATTTGGTCATGATGCTTTATGTTTTATACAGTCTAATATGAAGCTCAGTCATGTAAGGTGACTTGTACCCTGTGCCAAGGATTGTGCCGTGTGTCCAGTCGGAGCAGGGCTGGTGTGCGTTTACGCAAAATGTTCATGTCATCCCTGATTCGGGTCAATTGATTCCAGCGAAGATCCAGTTCTATGAGTCGACCAAGTCCACGCAGACCCTCCAGAGAGGAAATATGGTTAAAACTAACATCCAGATACTCCAGGTTTGGCTAAAGGATTAAGAGAAAAATAGAGGGACATTGAGAGACAAAGACAAAGACAGTCACAAGTCACAACTTCATATTCAATGATAGGACTTCATTTAATTTGTTATATCATCAAAAGTGCTTTTATGACAGGTGGTTAAAAATAAAGGAACTTAGTGACATCAACTAAAAATTAATTTTAGAGTGAATGAAGACCAATAATGTGCATTATATAGGGTCAGTTTTGACTTTTGACAATTTTGTCATGCTGCCTTTAAAGGTTAGTAATGATGTCATATTGAGAAGATGGAATAAGAAGGAATTATGAATGAATAGAATGATCTCATCACCATGTGTGAAATATCGTCCAAATGAGTGAACTCATTGAAGCTGAGGGTCAGATGCTTTAGAGCCGTGAGTCGAGAAATCTCAAGCAGTTTATTCAGACTGTTGCCATGTAGATTCAGCACCTGTATGACAGGAAATACGTCAATGAAATGATCACAATCTCACTAACTGACTTACATACTACAGAGATACGGGTTCGTGTGTGTTAGGTATTGTAAGTCTCACTGTGATCTGACTGAGGACGTTTGCTCTGGCCACTGTCAGTATGGATTTCTCATCTAGACTGAGCAGCTTGGGGTGAGGCTTCAGGATGGGTTCCATTTTTAATGCCTCCTCATCCAGGTCCAGCTCAGCAAGAGACACAGATGGGGCATCAGCGGGGGATGTATGAAAACTGGACGGGAAGTCTGGAGAGGGCTGGGATGTGTCCTAGAGAAAGATGCCATAAGGTAAAGATGGTTTGATTACTATTTTCTGGTATGAAATTAACAGGATGGTGTAAATGTGTGAGTGTATACTGTTAAACACATATACCTTTGTTACATATTCAAAGTCTACAAGGTACTCTGGCAGGACCATTTCATGGTCAAACATGTACCACAGTTTCTGCTGCTGTCTACAGTCACAGCTGTCCGGCAGGCTGGAGGGACCCAGCAAGTCTGACGAACAAAAACACACATATACACACACATTGCTGCTTTGATCACCACTGCCCTGAAGACATTTTTCTCTGATGGGTTCACATATTCCAACTCACCAGGGGCTGTTTGTGCTGTGTGCTTTTGCTCTTTAGAGCAGGTACTGAGGTAGACAGAGTTTGCTTTAGGGTAATGATCACAGTCTATTAGGAGACCCTCCTTTGCTGCAGCACTGCGGCCCAGGAACACTTTAGAAATGATCAATTGACCTAAAACAATACACAATATACACAATATATATATACACAATACACAAACGCATGAAAGCAAAACACTTTTAAATATCATTGACATTATTGAGATATTCATAATGTATGTACATTACTGCTCAGTTTAGGGGCAGCATTTTTTTAAAAGAGAAAATTATAATTTTAATTCAGCATGGACGCATTAAATTGATTTATAAGGTTACACAGGATATCTGTTTCAAGTAAATGCTGTTCTTTTGTGCTTTGTATTCATAAAAAAAATCTTTAAAAAATATCAAGAACGTTTTCATCATTGATAATAATAAGAAATGTTTCTTGAGCACCACATCATCATATTAGTATTTCTGCAGGATCATGTGATACTGAAGACTGGAGTAATGACTGCTAAAAATTCAGCTTTGCCATCACAGGAATAAATTACATTAAAAAAAATATTTTAATAGAAAAGTTATTTTAAATAATAATATTAAATAATATTTCACATTACTGTTTTTACTGTATTTTTGATCATACTGTATTTTAAGCATAAGAGATTTTTTTTTTAAGTGTAAAAGATCTTACTGACCCCAAACTTTTATTTTTGTAATATTTTTTGGTGCCAGTAGTAGCACAGAAATGACAGACAGCACCTTCAAATTAATCTAATTTAAAGGTTCTGAGTGAATTCAGACCATGTCTGAAGGGAAGACGGTCCACAGGGCTACTTCCTGATGTCGAGCAACTCTTCTTCTGCATAAATGTCATTCGCAGTCTATCAGACACACTCACACTGTTAGAGAGGTGGACGGCTCTCTCTCTGCCTAACGCCTGAAGGAAAGAAACACACATCCATGTTCAAGATGATGGATCCATTTAAAAACAGCAGAAATTCATAACCAGTCCTCATCGGGCTTTGATGGGTTGTGTACCTTATATGCATTAGCGGTTTTAAAACCATTTTCTAGGATTTGTAGTATCTCATCCCTTTCACAGGAATGTTCTGGATCGGGCACGTAGAACAGATACTCCATGCAGCGTTTATAATTCCTGTCACACACACGCACACACACACACACACACACACACACACATCTCATGATCTTAAACATTTATATGAACTATGAATATGGATTATTGATTCATGAATATAAAAGTAAGACTATCAAACAGTATCTATTTTGAATCAGCCATTTTTTTTCTTAAAGAGACACAGTGAGCATCTGGCTGACTCACTGTGAGTAGGGTGAAGGTTCCTGTCTGCATAGCAGAGAGTGTACTTTGTCCTGGAAGCGTTGCCGCAGGGCTCGGTTATGGATACGGATGATTCGATTGATTTTAATGCCAGTGACGTGGTGAGGTTTATAATCCCACGCACAGAAACGAGACAGCAAGAGATCGTAACATGACGTGAACCTGAGAGAGGAAGCGGAGAACAGTACAGATCAGTAATCCTGCATGTTGTGTTCTGTACAACTGATCTTGCATGCATACATGTAGTACCAAGGTTCGCCAGTGTTTCCCTCCTCAAAGCGAATGCTCCCCACGGTTTCCAGCTCCAACAGCAAAAAGTGCACTGTAATATCCCTTCTATCTGAGGCCAAGGCCACATTATGTTGGTGACATGCTTCTACCCTGTGAAAAAAACAAAACAAAACAAAGAAATGTAAGACCTGACAATAATCACGCACACAGGTTTACATAAAATGTATATAAAATAAAAAAAGGTTTATATAAAATTCACACTCACTCCTCCAGGTGCCGCTTCCAGAACTTCAGTCGGTCTTTAAGAGCATTCAGTTTGTGCTGCAGTCTCTGCTCATGGCTGTGGTCATTATGAAGGTCAGAGGTCAAGTCTTCAGGATCTCCCTTACCAGCAGACTGTACATGGGACAGCTCACATTCCATCTGCTCACAGAGGGTCAGTGTATTTTAGGGTACAAACAAACTGTAGTTTGGGGACAAATTTGAGGATGACTTAATTTAATAATAATATTTTTATTATTATTATTTCTGAAAATGAGGGATATCAGTACCATACTGGCTATCATCCAGTATTACATTTTTTTTTTAAATGGATATTTAAGAGTGCATGCTAATTTCCTCTATTTTACATATAGTTCTTTCCAATATCTAATGATCACGTAAAGTTCGTCTTTAAAAAAAAACAACAACAATAATTTAATAACACTGTCAAATGTAATATTTAGCAAATTTCTTTTTTATATTGTACATTATAATGCTGTGATGGCTAAATTCATTTCTAATTTAAAACAACTGGCTTTAGTTTGCAGTGTTTTATTTTTATTTTATTAAAAATAATTTTTTATTATATTTTAACACATTATTTATTTCACACACACACACACACACACATATATATATATATATATATAATTTTACATTATTTTAAAGTCAGCCATTTATCAGTTATCGGCTATAACAACAATAATTTTAAGCTTATCAATATCAGAAATTTTATATGGGTGCATTCCTACTAAATATGTTAGGAATGGATTTAGGAAAAAAGTGATACTCTAAATATACCACCATTGTGGCAAAAAAAACCCTGTGTGCATCCTGTATATACTCACATTTCTAAACACATGTGTTAGCACTCGTATTCTCTCCTCTGGTAGTTGTATCTGGTCTCTCCTCTGCTGCCTGAGCTTGGCTTTAAGGTCATCAAACTGTCTTAGCGCACAACGTTCCCGCATGGTGTAATACATCATTTTCTTCAGCACTGTAGACTGATGCACAACCACATGTTCCCATCATTCTTAAACACAAAAGACAGACTCTCAGTTGAAATAGACATTCTCTCACCTCTGCAGTGTCTTTGAGATGTTTGCTGGAAATGTCATATGTGTCCAGGCGTTGCAGGTGTGGCATGTGATATAGGACGTGTATGTAGTAATTATAGAGCAGACACAGTGGGTTTGGAATGGACTGAGGGTCCTTCAGACTCAGGTGTCTTAGTCGGGGCAGCTGAGCCAGATGGGTCAGGTCCTATAAGGAAAACAGATTTTACATACAGTTGTTTTCTTTCAGGGATCAGGACTATTCAGGAATATGAATTCACTTTTTGCAAAAAAAAAATCTGCAATGATTGTGGTATCTATGGTATATTCATTTATGCTATAAATACTGTTTGTTATTGATATTATGATTTTAATATTTTGTTATTTTTGGAACATCAGGAAATAACTTCCACCTACACAAATGAAACATTTTGCTGCGACATTAAATGGAAGTGCATTAGTTTCCCATTAGAGAAAAGAACCTCACATATGAGCCTGAAGCCCACAGATGAACAGCACAAAAAGCACCATACAAACACCTATCAGTGTCATGAAACTGTGTGTGTTAGACAGAAAGAGAAGTGAAGGACCGTCAGATACAAAGAGCCGAAGCGAGACAGAGGAGCTTTCAATCACTCGACTCACACAAAATAACAAAGGCCCCCATTTAGAGATGTGCACCCCATTCAGGAGCCACACCACTTGAAAATGAAAATATTTATTCTTGTTATTGAAAAAGTATCTCTTTTTCCTTTCGAAAAAAGAGAGACAGATGAAAACTATTTGGACAGAGATGCCACATTACAATAATGATAAGAAGTGAAAAGCAAAAACCTGAATCGTGCAATTCCTGAAATGATCAGGTCTCTGGGGAGTTGAGAAAATATAGAGCATGCACAGAAATAACAGTAATCAGGTCTATAGTGAGCAGGAGAGGGCGGATGCAATAATGACATGTAGATACAGGCCTGCAGTAATAACGGTGTGAAGGCCAGAAAGAAATTATTACCTAGTAATCTCGGACACAAACAAACAAACAAAATGGGCTCTACACAAAGGGCAATCCACAATCTAATAAGAGAAAACATGATTTTAGGCATCATTCATGTGCGCAGCAAAAACATAGGTATGTCCCAAAGTTTAATACGTAAGTTGCAGACACATTAGCAAAATTTTTGCAAAATATTGGAGACGATAAAGGTCCAGGAGCTGCAGCCGTGACACCAAATACTGGAAGACTAATTTGTCATTTCCCTATGGGTTTTTATAATGAGGTTTTCAATTTATAAGTAAAATAATGTCGAAAATTTCGCTGAGCAATGGTAAATGTGACTGTACCTTTAAGGTAAGGTATTAAAAACTGAATTAAGTATAAGCAATTTTAGGGCTGCGTGCCTTAGAAAATACTAATAAATTCAATTCAATTCTATACAATTCATGCCTTATTCATGAAAATAAATTACTCTGCTATGATACAGTTATCAAAATAGCAGGTCAAATAATGGTATATTTCTCATACCTTGAAGGAACTGATTTTGTTCCCTGAGAGGTTTAGATTTTGGAGATTGATGTTGGGATCCAAACTATGACCTTAGAAAAAAACATGTTAAATATTAGAGTATCTAGTAACAGATTTAAATGTCTATGTATATTATAATATTATAGTACAAAAATTAAATGCTACAATGGCAAAAATGTGGTGTTTTACAGTGGACCTACCAAGAGTCTCAATAGCATTATCAGCAAGATTCAACTCCTTAAGGCTTACAAGTGAATTCAATCCCTGTAAAACAAGGTGTAAAATAGTGGTACTGTATAGACACAAAAAATAATATAATTAAAAATTTCATGTACAGTATCTCCAGACATAAACATAGGCTATACCTGTATGTCAGAGATCTGGTTCTTATTAAGCCACAGAATGTGAAGGTCGACCAACATCTCTAGATTTGTGATCTGCTGGATGTTGTTGTCGTACAGAAATAATTTCCGCAGATGCACACAGTTATGTAGGCCACAGATTTCCTACAACACACAAACAATACCAAACAGATCAAAATATACTAGATTTATTTGCTGATTTTCATCTTAATTAGAGTAAATCGGTTAAAGAAAATAAGCATTTAAAATGAACAATCTTGGCAAAATTGCAAGATTTTTAAATTGACATTCTCTCTAAAATTGCAAAAGAAACATTTTTAGAAAGTTAAACTAGAAACATTCCAAATCTTTTCAGTAACTTACATTCAGTTTGCACTCCACTACCCATAATTCTTTGAGGAGTGGGCAATACTCCAGACCATGGATTGAGCTGATGCTCTGGCCTATAATAGTGAGACTGGACAGTCTGGGAAAGAGAGAGAGGCCCACCATGCGAGGGAAACCAGAGAAAAACATCTCCAGAACCATTTCACCACACCCCTCCTGACACACCTTCTCATAGCAAAGTCCATTAGACACACACTGAGGAAATAAACAATCCAAAGACACTTCAGCACAGACCAGCACATGTGGCTTAGATTAGAAAACCACACAAAGGCAAATTGCACATTAAGTTCATTTATTTGAACTAAAAAAAAAAAAACCCCAACAAAACTCACCAGCTCTTTTATAATTTCTTCGTCTCCAGTTAGTCTCTGCTTTTCATTCTGTGTCATGATCCCCTTAAAAACAGTATTTTTGAAGGCTTATGGGCTTCAAAAAAATAAAACATAGTCACTAATTCTTTACTAAAAATTACTACAACTGTAGCTACTAAACATAATAATAAAATGTATCTACATTTCTATCCTAGTTAATACTGAACAACTACAAAAACACATTCAAACTGCTGCAATGCTGCAAACACCTTTTACGTATATTATAAAAATGTATCTCACAAAATATACATTTCTAATTTTTACTCATTTTTACTAATGCGTATTTGCACTAGAAACTCCTCACCTGTTTGTGTATGTCCAACTGTATACTAGTCCTGAGCCCAGCAGGTGACCAAGTCAAATTCCTTCACACTCCATGATTTACCACTACAACAAATCAGTTTACCTACTCTCCACCATAAAGTTCAACAGCTGCGTGATGCCTGTTAAGTGTAAACATACCTTTCAACAGTGAAAACATATCAATACTCCAGTACCGAGCCGCACTTATGATTCTCCTTTTTATTTTGCTAACTGCAATGTTTACATCAGGCCGTTGCTAAGGAAGCGTGGCTCGTCGCGTCGGTGCTAAGGAAGCCCTGTTGGAATGTGTTGTTGTCCGCCAGCAGATGGTGCTAAAACACCGGATCATCCACCCGTAAAACTATATCATATGTGAGTTTCAAGGCAATGTGCATTATTGAACGAGGTTTAAATGGAAGCTTCTATATAGCGACTTTAGAATTATTCCGTTTATTCCGTGTTTTATTTTAAATTTCACAAAACAAAATCCTTTAATTAGTCTACACTTTTTAAAATGATTAAAATGATTTAAAAACTTTTATTTACATATAATAAAGAAGGAAAATAAACAACATCTTAATAATGATTTCCAACACAAATTAAAATTGGAAATTAAAACAAACGGAGAACACAGAAAACACACCTCAGAATACAACGCAACAATGCTAGCCAAGGGTAAGTGTAGCATATAGAAAAAGACAAACTAATCTTCACAATTCTGAAGAAATAAGATAAAATAAAAATAATCCAAATTCAACCAATTTTATCCCATTTATGCTAAAATATTATTAATTTAAATTAAACAAATAAACTGGGCAGAGTATAAATATTGACAAACAGCTCCTATAAAATATAAAACAACTCCTGCAAATTTAGTCATTTCAGGCTGCAACAACGAGGAAAAAGTCATGTTAAGACTGTTTCCTTCATCGCTGAATGTATTTTTGTAATTTGCGCTGAAGTCTATTTAAAAAAGCTTAAATGTGGCGTACGTGTTATGTGTACTGTGAGGTAGCATGAACCACGCCCGTGGGGTGGAGGCGCGCGCACACACGGACAGTCCTCTAACCCGGGATGTCGCTCTCCGTCCTAAATCCGTGCCAACCGCGAGCCGCACAGATACAGTGACGTCAGCTCCGAGACACTGAACCAAACACATCGAGCCCACTGGCTACTATATCATATGTGAGTTTCAAGGCAATGTGCATTATTGAACGAGGTTTAAATGGAAGCTTCTATATAGCGACTTTAGAATTATTCCGTGTTTAAATATTTTTATTTTAAATTTCACAAAACAAAATCCTTTAATTAGTCTACACTTTTTAAAATGATTTATACAAAAGAAAAACTTTTATTTACATATAATAAAGAAGGAAAATAAACAACATCTTAATAATGATTTCCAACACAAATTAAAATTGGAAATTAAAACAAACGGAGAACACAGAAAACACACCTCAGAATACAACGCAACAATGCTAGCCAAGGGTAAGTGTAGCATATAGAAAAAGACAAACTAATCTTCACAATTCTGAAGAAATAAGATAAAATAAAAATAATCCAAATTCAACCAATTTTATCCCATTTATGCTAAAATATTATTAATTTAAATTAAACCAATAAACTGGGCAGAGTATAAATATTGACAAACAGCTCCTATAAAATATAAAATATTTAAATAAGTCGGAAATCATATAAAATAATTTAATGACTAATCAATTTAGTCAAAAACACTGTTTCTGCAAACAACTCCTGCAAATTTAGTCATTTCAGGCTGCAACAACGAGGAAAAAGTCATGTTAAGACTGTTTCCTTCATCGCTGAATGTATTTTTGTAATTTGCGCTGAAGTCTATTTAAAAAAGCTTAAATGTGGCGTACGTGTTATGTGTACTGTGAGGTAGCATGAACCACGCCCGTGGGGTGGAGGCGCGCGCACACACGGACAGTCCTCTAACCCGGGATGTCGCTCTCCGTCCTAAATCCGTGCCAACCGCGAGCCGCACAGATACAGTGACGTCAGCTCCGAGACACTGAACCAAACACATCGAGCCCACTGGCTCCGCTGCTGCGAGACGGGAAGCATCGGTCAGGCTCGGCCATATTAAGCGTCACATCTTTGAATTTCTTCTGCGATCTCACAGAATCGTTCTAGCTTCGAAACAAACCCCCTGCGTGCGATTACTGTAAGCATGTCCGCCAATTCGAGCGAGGGGCCGGGTTTGGATGGGAAATGGTTCGAGGAGGAGGAGGAGAAGAACGGGATGTTTGGGAGCGCAGGGCCCCGTTTCGACGAGATGCGGGACGACCTGCACGCGCCCAAGCAACAATTCCATCCCTTTGAAGGAAGCGGCGTTGCCATGGAAACTGCATCTACAGGTAAATTTGGGCTTTTTATAATTACGCATTGTGTGTGTTTAGCGGCGACATCCGTGCCGGCGATAAAAGAAGAAGCAAAAGCTGATGATGATGATGAATTGGAGATGAAGAGAGACAGACCAGGCCATGGGTGTGACAGTGCCTGGATGTCTCTGCATACACAGACGCACAGTGCTCCAGGCAACTATGGTAGTTCAAACAACATGATCAAACAAACGACACACACAATAAAACAAACAAAACATTCTTCTGTTACTCTCTAATGGTTTTAGAGTTGAGCAATCATGATGAGAGAACTCTTAGGATCATGATGTGTGTTCATAAAGCCACAATAATGTAATCATAATTTCTTTGTCTTTGTGCTCAGCCTGTCTCACTGCCCTCTTTCTCCTTGGCCTGTCTCACTGTTCTAAATCACAGGGCATGGCTCAATAATTGGGCATTGTCCACCCCTCTAATAAACCTCTTCATGTAGCACAGCGAGGCTATTAACACTTCTCATTATGACAGGTCATCAGCACAACCTTCAAATTCACAGTCAGACTCAACCCAGTCTAATGAGAAAATGTAACTCTTTTACACAATGGCAAACGTTTTTTTTGTAAGGAAAAGGTCTACCCCATACCTGACCTGTCAGTGAGGCGTAAGCAAGCATACGAATTAAGAAAACATTAAATAATTACAAATTGCATTGAGAGTGTGTTGTCAGCCCTCCTGATTCTACCAGCTGTAGTATATTAAGCTTTTTAAAAGACATTCGAATTCACATTAATGTTAGTATTTTAATATAAACTAACTGTAATCTGGTCAGTTATATCTTGTTTGCTGAGTGCACTTAAAAGTGCACTTAGTATTATTTTTTTTTATTTAAAGTTTTAAGAAGAAATAAATGAGTAGCACTTGAAAATGATATCCACTGAAATGACGACTCCAGTAACATCAGTAGCCTAATCTATTTTACATGGAGCACCATCTCAGGGGGGCCACCATGTTGAGATCACATGACCAGCCAAATAGTGCTCATGTTGTCTTGGTAAACGCCTGTTAGTGGACACATTTGCATACTGAATAAATTAATTTTGGCTGACTGTGAACTGCACATTTCTTTACAACCATCGGTAACAAAAGTATTGCTGCTTACATGTCAAACATGACCATATTGGCCAGTGCTAATGCATAAAAATGACTGAGTGTGCCTTAAACTTTTTTAGAGATGAGTATATTAGAAAGTATATTAGAGTTTTCTTGTGTATAGTGTGATTATTAAAACAAAGAGGAGTTGAAGAAAAGACTCGTATTAGTTCGGGATGTCAACATTTATGTTGGGTAAAGTTTGTGTTATTGCCATAAATGATGTTGCTTCAACATTTGAAGCAGTAGCTGTTTTGATGCTATGAACAACATCTGATCAAGAAATGAATATCCTGCATCGTAAAGCTAGAGTTTTTCTCTTTTTTCCCGTGAACTCTTTCTTTCTCAGTATTTCTGAGCTGCTAAACTGAATCCTCACTGACCGTAACAAAAAATAACAGTGAGTTTATTAGATGAGATGGTCTGGCGTTAGCCTGATTCCTAAACCTCAGACAATAATGTGGATTTAGTACCGGACAATAATAAAACATAGAACTATCTTATCAAGAAGGAAGTGTACATGATCGGAGGTTCAGAGGCAGACATCCAAGCACTCACAGTGGTACTTTAATTGTACCACATGCTGCAGCGTTTAATGTGCTTTTAGTGTTTCTATGGATCAATGTGACAGATAAAGTAGTGATGTATCTATAGAAACCCTTTCAGAGTGGAGACGGTGACTACAGCCTATCATGCACATAGCATGTAAAATACATAAGGTGAAATACAGTGACATACTTTCAAACTTTCATACGAAAACCATCGCAGCTCGCTTTCATGGCTTTTTCCTGTTGCTAATTGTCAGTTTTTGCTTCTGCAGGTGCTCCTTGGTCCATTAAGAGGCTGATTGAGCCACCATTATGGCTCAGAGTGCTATTATTAGCTATGGGGAAACTGCATGCACACATACGCCCATGCACAGTCTCTCTCACATGCTCAAATATTCATGAGCCGGGGGCTGAAATCCCTCAGCTCCCCCGTGCACTGGTTAGCTGTAATACACACACACACACACACTTGCACATACACAAAAACACACAAAGTCTTTCCTCCTCTCATGGACACAAGCCCAAATACGAATATTCTCTTAAATGCATTCAAATGCACTCACACAAAGAGTCTTTCTCTCTGTCTTTCACACTCTGGTTATGGTAAGGTTCTTGTTTCTTCCTTTCCTCTCCCTCTCTCTCTCTCTCTCTCTTCCTGTCTTTCATACAATGTCGGTTTGGGCTGTAGTTGGCTCAGTCTTTAGCATTCTCTCTTTTTAAATAAACAGAGGGAGGTCTATTTATAGGCTGAGTAAGAGTGAGCCGTCTTTTTACAGTAGCCAAGCCAGTCAGCTCACGACTTTTTAATAAAAAGACGGGCTGGAAAAAGATCTGTCCACGTGGTGAGCAGCTCAACACAACAGAAATCCTGTAACTCTGATCGTACCATCAGTAACATCACACCCACATGTCAATATGTCCACCATAATCCACTTCTGACTGTCTCTCTCTCCCCAGTTGTCTCTCTCTCTGTCTGCCTGTCTAATATGCTGAAGGGAAAGGCCTAGACGAGGAGGAATGCTGGTGCGTACTGTCTGTCTGCATTCACAAAGTCACTCGGGCATGAGAGAGAGAGGCCGAGTGAGATCAACAAACAGTGCTGGGTGTATGTGAAAAGACCGTTCCTTCTGTCACTTTCAGCCAAAGGCGGTCAGCATGCAAGGACCACTCGAATAGAGCACAACACTAGGGGCCTCTGTAGAGAAATTGATTGTATAAACCTTTCCAGACAGACCTACTTAGAATTTTGAGGTTGTAAAATGGTGGAAGACAAGTCAGCGTGACTTCAGCTTAATTCTAAAATAATGTTGTT